GATGATGATGATGATGATGATGATGATGATGATGATGATGATGATGATGATGAGCATAATGATAATAATAATTTTTATTTAAAAAATGATAATCGTACTCACCGCAAGCGGGTCGTCGAAGCTGATGTCATGGCCCACAGTAAGCGTGACCACCAGACAAGTGGAGACCACCACCAGCACCACCAGCAGCACTACGTACGGGTAGTTGGACAACACTCGAGCATACCTGACACAAGGAGAAGGATGTTAGTTAGTTTTGGTAAGGTTTTAAGGCGCTCGCAACTGCATAGGCCATATTAAGGCCAAAGGGTGGATGTCAACAGAGAAGTCAAATCGGGGAATCAGGCATCTATAATCTTGCAGCAAAAAAAGTGCCATTGCAAGTACATGTTCCGAGACATTTTCCTCTCAGCGCAAACATAAGATTGCGCTGCACGTTTTAACGATCGTATAATTATTGTATCATTCTTTTGAGTTTTTCAGTTTCATAAGTTAATTTTAATTTTAATTATAATTCTAAAGTTCATATTTTCACACTTTCGAAAATATATGTGAATGTTCCTTGATGTGAGTAAAAGAAAAAAGATGGAAGTGAATTAAAATAAAATATTTCAAAAGTATAAAAAAATAAAATTTAGTTTGTGAACTTTGAGTTTGATACCTGGCATTGTACTATTCTTGTGAGTTCTTAATTCAGTTTGATATGTACATTTTAATTTTAATTTTCATATTTTTACACTTTTGAAAATATCTGAATGTTCCTTGGTGTGGTTAAAAGAATAAAGATGGAAAAGAATTTTATTTTAAAAACAAATGATTTAAAAAACATAAAATATTAACCCAATCTTTAGATTGCGGCGCACGATCGCAAAACGCGCAGGGCAAACTTCACATTTATAGCAAGCATCCATGCCCACCACGAGAAATACCTGGGTTCGATTTCCCGATGGGAAGATTTTTTTTCCCTTCTAGATATGGAGAGAGAAGACTGAAATGGAGAGAAAAAAACAAAACGGTAGAGACACAAAGAATGATTAAGACAAGTGGATAAGAAAGACGGACAGAGAAAAAAATTCAGCTCGTAAAATCAATATGTACAATAAGGACGGAATATATCTTTTTATGCAGTCTGCAATCTCTTCAATTTTAATTTGATATTGTCCTTCCAGTTCGTAGAACTGGAAATTTTCAAGTCTGGATAAACAGATTAAAAAGCTAGAAGAAGGCACAAATAACGTTGGCATAATTTAGATAAATTAATAGGCGGGCTAGTCCGACCCTGCCCGCGGGGCCCAATGAAAACTGGAGGAGATGTGGCATTTCAGCAAACAGACGGACATGCTTCATAGAATAATAACTTCCTCACACGAGAAATAAAATCATGTTTTCTGTGATGATGATGATGATGATGATGATGATGATGATGATGATGATGATCATCATCATCATCATCATGCAGACGATAGAAGTGGGGATGGTGATGCTGATGATTGAAAATACAGGTTCATGAAAAGCACACACACACACACACACACACACACACACACACACACACACACGTACACACACAAACACACGCACGCAC